TCTTAAAATATTTTTTTCCAGATATAAAAAACGCACCCAAATTAAATTTGGCAAAACAGTTCAATCGATACGATTAAAAAGGCTTCCTATTTGATGCCTTGAGAAGCATAAGCATCTATTCAATTTGATGGACTTGTTAGCGAGAAGTCAAATAAATACACGCTTATTGCTCAAAAAACATCGAAAACTCGTGAGTCTAATTGAGCCACATATCACATTTATAATTTTGACAATTAATTAGTTCAAGTATCGCTCAAAATTGCAGGTAAATATAAGGTAAATATACTAAAAAATAAAGTTACATAACACCAAAACAAACTGAATCCGCTAAGGAAAATAACAAAATTATAGCCTCAAATGGAGGTGACCTCATATTTTGTTGAAGGCAACAATATCGCAGCTTTGCACATATACATTGATAGGCTTGGTTGTGAGACGCTCCTTAATGAGATCATCAACAGAGACGAGATAGTCAACTATGGTCATCATGATCTGCTGTTTCTTAATTCCATATCCAACCTCTACCAATTTTCCTAAGCAAGATCACAAATTCAAAAATAATCAGCCACAGGCTATGTAATAATGTGCAAGATAAACAGAGCCACGAAAATAAATGTTCAAATGGACGAAAGAGTAAACCATACATGCTTCCCACAATAGGACAGGCAACTCAACACTACGAACAGTCTCTTCCAGCTTCTTCATGTCTGTCTCATCATCCCATGGCTTTACATCCAAAAGAACAGATGATTTCCCACCTAGAGACAAATTCCAAATTGCAAAACTCAAAAAATGGATAGAAGTAAATGGATTTAATAATGGTTAGCCGAGATTCAGTTAAGTATGATTTCCCACCCACACATTTGATCTTGTTTTCATTTTATCCGTTCTTGATAGTTTAAATATTATAAACTCAAAAGTATCATTCTTGGATGTAATGATATTGTTCCAAATTCTTATTGAGAAAGTAATATTAAACCAAAATTTAGGAAGCAAGTGATGTAAAGACTAAGCCAACATATAAATGTGAATCAAAGAATGATAATATCCATTCTTCCTCAAACAGTGAATGATAGGATTGTTCCTTCATCAACTGACAGCCTCACAATCCTAACATTAATAGGTTTCAAAAAAATGGGGATGAAGAAGGACACAGTATATTGTTAAATTTTAATAAATGAGAGAACTACGTCTTCATGAATATTCATCGTGTCCATGAAAATAATGAAGCAACTCTAACAAACTTCACTTAAAAAATCTAATCACAAA